ATGTGGTGCTGGAGGATCGAACCGCGGTCCCTGTGCTTTGCCAAGCTTGTTCCAAGTAGGTGCTTTAGACCACTGAGCCATCTCTCCAGCCCCTCTAATTGTTTTTGATTACTCATTCTCCCTCATTCTTGCTCACAGTGCTGGGGATTGGAGCCCAGCGCCTTGTGTGTGCTCAGCAAGCACTGAGCTCCGCCCCAGTCCTGTCCTATTAGTCCTCTTAAGTCTCCTAGATTTCTGTTATACCGCCTCATCTGCCTTCTGGGTGTCTTAAAGAACAGAAAATGCTCCTGGCTTGCTGTCTTTCTAGGTGAGTCTAATCCACACATTTACTCTCCAGTGAAGTGTGTGTGTGTGTCTGTGTGTGTCTATGTGTGGTACCAGGGATCAAACTTGGGACCTTGTGCTTGCCAGGCAGGTGCTTATGCCACTGAGCTACATCCCCCAGCCCCTCCAGTGAATTTTTAATTTTAGTGGCTGTGCCTTTAAATTTGCCTCCTTTTCTGCTTTTGGTCGTTTTAAGCCTAGTTTTGCGGGACCGGTTGTCTTGCTCGGGTATCTGAGGTCCGCAGGTGCTGTCTCGCCGGCGGCTCGCTGCAGCAGCAGGTCATTTTCCCATGATTTGTGAGGTCTGCTCTGGGACCCAGGACGGCTGGGGTTGAGGATCCAGGGTAGTTTTGTTTTCTTCTAGCCTAAAGCCATCTTTGACATTAACTTGGACGGCTTCTGGTCCATTCTGAGGGTAGAGATTGGAGCCCTACCCTCTCCTTGACCCCCATGAAAGTGAGCATGTATGTATTTAGTTGATGGCACATGCCTGTAGGCCTTGCCCTAAAAAAAAAAAAAGTATTTACTGCAGGGTCTCACTACACAGATCGGACTCGTAGTGATTCTCCCGTTTTCAGCCTCCCAGGCCTGGGATTACCGACACGCACCACCATGCCCAGTCTCAGTCGTTATCTCAGCACTCCCTGGGGCTGGGCCAGCAGGGCAAGCCCCTGACCCCTGGGTCTGCCTAAGCAGGTGCTTGAGTCTGCTGAGCAGTGTGGCCGGCCCCCATTTTTTTTTTTTTTCCATAATTTTATTGAGAAACAAAGAGCAGTGAGACAGTTTCAAATCAAATTGGTAGGACAGTTTCAATAATTAACACATCCATTTATTCTTAATATTAAAAAAAAAACAACATTAATGTATTACGCAGCTCAGACTCCTAGCGATTCGGTTCTCTCAGCCTCCCCAGAGCTGGGATTACAGGCGTGCTTGCAGTACCTGGGATAGAACTCGGGTCCTTGCGCTTGCTGGGCAGGCGCTTAGACCACCAAGCTATCTCCCCAGCCCAAGAGTATGTGTTTCGAATTATTCAGCGTAGTCATTTTTCCCTCCCCACGGCTGCAGGTCAATTCACAGTACTAAAGAGTATGTCTTGCCAGTGCACCTTTCGAGGATTTAGCTCTTTGCAGCTAGGTCCCCCTCCTCTTTGTTAAATTTTATATTTTTATATTTTTTTGTGATACTGAGGATTGAACCCAGGGCTTCACTTAGATCTTCATCTCTTTTTTAAATTTTTTTAGTTCCAGACAGGGTTTCACTAAGTCTTTAGGCTAGAACTCACTAAGGCTTGAACTTGAAATCCTTCCATTTCTGTGTTGCAAGGTGCTAAGGTTGCAGATACACACTACTGTGTTGGGTTTGGGACACCAGGCCCAGCCCTGCTCCTGTGAGGGTGTCAAGACCAAGCCCCTGGGTTCTGGCATGACTTAGAAGCTGTGCCCTGTGGCTCCAGGAATTTTCTACCTTCCTGTGACCACGTTTGTGGCCCATGAATGCTCATTGAACGGTGTGGCATTTTGGGGCATCCGGGGAGGACGCCCCCAAGCACAGGTCGTGCTGGGGGCCTGTGTCTGGCGATCCACAGCTGGCCTGATGCAGAAGCGTTCTTTCAGATTTCTTCTCCCCTACCCAGTCAGCCCTACCCAGACCTTTAGTGTCACCCAGGCCATCCCAGGTGCTTCGTGTGCAGAGGCAGGTAGACAGCAGGCAGGGCTGGCATGTGTCCAGAGTCCCCCACTCGTTACCGTGGCCCAGGACCAGCACGTGACCCCGTCCCTCGTCCATGCACACCAGGTAACAGTTACTGTTATTTTTAGCTCCTTGTCCCCAAGTCCAGAATTCCTAAAACGTGAGCATTCTTATCCGCCCTATTCTATGGGCTAGAATAGGAGGGTGCAAAATCAGCGCCGCTGTCCACATCATCCTACAGGGCTGCTTTGCTGTGCAAGGTCAGGCGTGTGGCTGGGCTCGCAGGCGTGTGGACTGCGGGGGCCCTGATGGTCCTGGGGGACTGTGCTGGCCACATGGCAGTTGGGCATCTGTTTCTGCTTTGAGCCTTTGGCTGGCCGTGACATGTGGAGATTGCAGTGCCGACTTCTTTCCTTCCTGCCTCCCTCTTTCCTTCCTTTCTTGTGGTCAGGACTGGGGATTGAACCCAGGGCCGTGCACTGCGCTACATCCTAGCCTTTCTCTGTGTTTTCTTCTGAGCCATGGGCTTGCTCGGTTACTAACTTGCCCAGGTAGCACTTGAACTTGCGATGCTCCTGCCTCCCAGAGGGCTGGATTACAGGCGCGTACCACCACGCCTGGCCTGTCAGAAGGCTTCCCAAAAGAGGTGATGCTGATTAGCCTTCTGCCCTCCTCAGGACTAATGAAGCCCATGATGCCCCAGGACTCCCTCAGTGGGGCTGGTTGTCGCTCTGAAGATCAGAACTGTGTGCAGCCACTGCAAGAAAGAAAAGTGACCGCCATTGATCCAGCGCCGGTGTGGAGCCCGGAGGGCTACATGGCGCTACAGAGCAAGGGCTACGCGCTGCCCCATGCCAAGTCGAGCGACCCCCTGGCAGTGGACATGCACGTCAGGTGAGCTGCCGCTTGTTTCTGCTGCCTACAGCTGGAGGACGACTGCGGTGCCAGAGAAGACGCCGCCGCCAGGGCGGGGAGGTGTGTGCGTGGTACATGGAGGCTTGTGTGAGCAGCCCTTGCTGGTGCTGGGCACGGGGGCGGGCAGGCCCCGCAGGCAGGTGGTCACTCCAGGCTCCAGCTTGTCGCGGCTCCAGGGCACCGCCGGCTCCTCTCCGTCTCCAGGGTGGCACACCGAGCCCGTGCATGCCACGCTGCGGCCAGGCCTACTCCTCGCTCTCGGACTCCAGGGCCACAGCCCAGCAACCTTGCTTAAAGATAGAGCAAATGTTTGCTTATGTTTTCCTTTTCTTTTTTAAAAGCTTTTTTTTTTTTTTTTTTTTTTTCCTTTTTAAAACTAAGCTCTGTGATCAGCATGGAACCCAGGAACCAAGCTCCAATCACATTGACTGATTTCTCTGGTTCCTTTTCAGGAATGAAAGCTCTTACTGCAGCTCCTCCGGAAGGGCAGGGGGCGTAAGTGCCCAGCGCGATCTCTTTGAGGAGAGAGGGGAGGAGTACTTGAGTGCTTTTGACAAGAAGGCCCCGGCAGACTTTGACAGCTGTATTTCTTCTCAAAGAATAGGCCAGGAGCTTTTGTTTCCACCCCAAGAAAATGTTCAGGAGGTGGGTGCTCTTGGGGGTCACACCCAAAACCTTAGGTGTCCCCCTTTGGAGCCTGACTTTATCCCCACTGAGAAAAAGCCAGATTACGGCAGTTGGGACGTTGGCCACCAGCCAAAGGCCGCTGACACAGCCAACAGTGTCAAGCCGGAGGCACCCCGAGAGGAGGCCGCCTTCCACCTCTCATGGGAGAAGGACGGGACCCCCGAGAAGCCGCCGAACCCAGAGCCGGAGTGGGCACCCGAACCCCGGAGCTCCAATAGCCAGCAGCAGGAGCAGCCAGGCAGGACCCGGAGGTCGGGACCCATCAAGAAGCCGGTCCTCAAAGCCCTTAAGGTGGAGGAGAAGGAGAAGGAATTAGAGAAGGTGAAGCAGGCGCTTGGGGAGGACGGTACACGGCTGAACACAGAGAAGGAGCCGGCTTGCAAAGCCGAAGAGGACGAGGATGAGGAGAACCACCCAGCTCTGGCCAGTGCTTCCCCCTCTGCCCCAGAGGACAAAGCCTTGACCCAGGCTGGCTTTGGCCATGAGGCCAAGTTTGATGAGGACGAGAAGCCGGACAAGGCCTGGGACAGCAGACCGTCACGTGAGTCTGGCGACATCCCCCCAACCAAGAGGAATAACTGGATCTTCATTGATGAGGAGCAGGCCTTTGGGGGTCGGGGGCAGCCCCGGAGCCGAGGCCGCGGCTTCCGGGAATTCACCTTCCGAGGTCGGCCCACCAGTGGGAATGGGAGCAGCCTGTGTGGCGGTGGCAGCGGGGTTCTTGGGCCACGCGGCATCTATAGCAGCAGCAGCCAGCGGAGCTGCCGGGGCCGGGGCCTGCGTGACTTCCCCCAGCCCGAGGACTGTCCCCGCACCAAGCCCCGGCGGAGGATTGCCAGTGAGACTCACAGTGAGGGCTCGGAGTATGAGGAGCTCCCTAAGCGGCGCCGGCAGAGGGGCACCGAGAGCGGGGCTGAGGGCTCACGCCTGGAGAGGGACGAGGGCGCCCTGAAGAAAGACTCCTGGCGTTCCAACAAGATCTACTCGGAGGAGCAGGGCGGCCTGGACACCAAGAGCCGTGGCCCGCGGGCCCTGGGGCGTGCGCTCCCACCCCGGCTGAGCAACTGTGGCTATGGGCGCAGGACCTTCATGGCCAAGGAGCCGGCCCACTGGCAGAGCAGGAGCCCTGGCGGTTCCTGGCAGGAGTACGGCCCGGCCCGGAGAGCCACAGACAGAGACTACATCCCTGACTCCTACCGGCATGCCGATGCGTTCAGTGGCAGGGCATTTGAGGACAGCCGCCTGGAAGAGAAGAGGGCCTTCTTCCAGGATGACCACGCGGCAGACCCTGATGGCGCAGAGAACCGGCCCTTCAGGAGGAGGCGCCCCCCGCGCCAGGACAAGCCCCCTCGCTTCCGGCGCCTGCGGCAGGAGCGCGAGTCCTTGGGGCTGTGGGGCCCTGAGGAGGAGCCCCACCTGCTGTCTGGTCAGTGGCCGGGCAGGTCCAAGTTCTGTCCAGGGGACAAGGGGGGCGCTGGGGGCCGCCGGTCCCCTGAGCTCTCCTACCAGAACTCCTCCGATCACGCCAATGAAGAATGGGAGACGGCCTCCGAGAGCAGCGACTTCAGCGAGCGCCGGGAGCGGCGAGAGACCCCTGGGGCCGAGCCCCACACACAGGGGGACAGTGGCCTGTCCGCGGCCAGTGTGGGGGAGAAGAAGGAGCTGGCCAAGAGGAGCTTCTCCAGCCAGAGGCCCCTGGTGGACAGACACAGCCGCAAGCTGGAGCCGGGAGGGTCTGGGGAGAAGCCGGGTAGGCCAGGTGGTGGTGAGCCGTCCCCCCGTTATGACAGCCAGCACAGTGGGACACCCTTGAAAGCCAAAAGGTAACAGCAAATGCCATCCCAGGTCCTTTGTTGTCGTTGTCCTGTTGCACAGCAGCACCAAGTCCATGTATGCACGCCCCGTCGGGCCCCGCGCCTCCGGCCACTGTGTGTGCGTCTCCATCACCACCCCTGCATCGCTTGTCGCTTCTCTCGTGGTGTGTCATTGTTGTGTGGCCTGACAGACTAAACCAGTGGTGTCCCCAGCCACCCCCCACTCCCTCAGGGGTCCCTCATGGCCTCTGCCCGGCCCTGGCCTGACGGCCCAGCCTCCCGGCGTGTCCTTGTTGCCTGTGGGCAGTGCCTGGGCAGCAGTGGCTGGCCCACCAGATTCCTACACCTCTGGCCTCCAAGCTGGCTGGGCATTGACCCGGCGGGGCCTTGCTGGCTCCCAGCTGCATGGAAGTGGCTTTTTCCCAGGTGGTTCTGCTTGTCACCTCCCTCCTTGGAGTGGTCAGAGCTACCAAGAGCTGAGGGGAGCAGCTGGCTGCGGCCAGTAAGCCTCTCTTCTCTGGAACTGGGTAGATGCCCTGTGTTTGGCAATGGGCTCCTGTGTGGGGACAGAGTGGCCTTGGTGAGTGTGACCAGATTAGGGGAACGGGGACTGGTGCAGCTTTCCATGCCCAGGGAGTGCTCCTAAGATTGCTTCATACTCCTCCTTCCCCCGCCCCCAGAAGGCAGGACACAACCTGGGCATGGTTTTTTCCCCAGGGGGAGCCCTGGGAAGGCACCAGTTCTTTCCAGGGTCCAGCCTGGGTCTCCGGGGCCGTGCAGCAGGACGAGGTTCTCCTGGGTGGGATAGATAGGTTGCCATCGCCCTTCCTTCTTGGCCTCTACTGTCGGCTGAGGGCACAGGAGAACAGAGGCGCTGGGCAGCCCCACCTGAGCTGTTCCAGGTAGGACAGCTTGTGCACATGCCCACGCCAGGCCAGTGACAGTGAGTGCTGCTGGTCCCCCTCGGCCTGATGGCCAGAACTGGCGCTGGATCAGCTGCTGTGTCTGTGTGGGCCATGTGCTACGCATGCGGGAACCCTTCCTTGTTCCTCTTAGCCTTCGGATATTAAAAAGCCCACACGGTCCTCTTTCTTTGTAGGTCGCCAGACGAGCCCCTCCCTGGAGGTCTTGGTAGCTGCAGCAGTGGTAGCAGCCACTCGCCCTATGCGTTGGAGCGGGCAGCCCATGCCACCCCTGACAGTGCTGAGGCCACCAGTAAGAAGACAGAGAAGGAGTCTGTGCTGGCTTCTCAGAGGGCCGGTGAGCAGGAGGAGGCCCGGAAGCAGTTCGACCTGAGTTACGGAAGTGAGTTCAAGCACACGTACACACGCACGTGCTGGAGTTCCACAGGACCAGAGGCCCTGGGGTCCCTGCGGGTAGAGGACTGCCGCGTCTGTGTTAGGCTGGGTCCTGGGGCTGTGGTGGTGACATGAGGATCAGGTCCCTGCCAGCTGGCCTTTTGGAGTCCCTGAGAGCCTCAGTGTACAGAGGGGAGCCTGAGGCCAAGAGACCTTGGCGGAGCACAGTCAGGGTCCCTAACTCCACAGATACTGAGTGCTGCTCGGGCCTTTGGGTCGACACCCTCTGTGGGAGGTGGAAGGGGGTACGACAGTACATGGCTACAGCTGTTTCTCTGGGGGTCCTGGTGCATGAAAGGTATATTTCTACTTGTCTTCTCCCTCCTTGGAGTGGTCAGAGCCACCAAGAGCAGAGGGGAGCAGCTGGCTGCTCTCCTTTGGAACTGGTAAATGGCCTGTGTTTGGCTGTGGGCTTCTATGTGGGGATAGGGGCTGGCCTTGGTGACTGTGACCAGATTGAGGGATTGGGGGCTGCTGCAGCTTTTCCTGCTCTGGGAGGGCTCCTAAAATTGCTTCATACCACCACCCTCTTAGAAGTCAGGACACTGAACCTGGGCATAGTTTTTGGTGTCCGTGTCAGACCAAGCCTGTCTGTAGAGACCCGGTGGCTGTTGTGCTGGGTGATCCTGACATCCTGAATGGACCTCTGTCCTTTTCCATGGACCCTTCTCTCAGATGCCATCATTGACAACTGTGGGTCCAGCCCTGGGGATGACAGCGAGGTGGGCTCGATGGTGGGAGAAGGCTTCATCGAGGTCCTGACTAAGAAACAGCGCCGCCTGCTAGAGGAAGAGAGGAGAAAGAAGGAGCAGGCCGCACAGGTGAGCACCAGGTCGGCAGGGCTGAGGGAAGGAGCGTGTGCTCAGCATGTGTCACCTCCATGCTGCTATTAAGTGAGTCACAAAGAGGCTGGCTTGTCTTGGCTCTGTCCCCCTACCTGTCCACCTCCTTGCTCTGTCTCCCCCCGGGTGGGGTCAGGCTTACCTCCCTGTGAGCTTTGAGGGCAGGGTCCCTACACACCGCCACCTCTACTGGCTGCCAGCACTCCTGGGGCAGCTTGGAAGCCTGGCAGTACACCACCTGGCTGGCATCTTGGGAAACAGGTGTGCTACGTATCTTGAGTGATTTAGATAGTGGGTAAGTGTCAGGGTATTTTCCTAAGAGAAGAGCGGTCTTCAGCTCAAGTATGTCTCATTCTTTTTCCTTTAGGTACCAGGCAAAGGTCGAGGCCTTTCTTCCCGTATTCCTCCTCGATTTGCTAAAAAGCAGAACAATCTATGCCTGGAGCAAGGTGACGTGGCTTTGCCTGGCAGCAGCCTGGGCACCGAGATCTGGGAGAGCAGCAGCCAGGGTGAGCACGGGCGCTGGGGCGCCGTGGGCGGGGGCTCGAGACACGGATGCAGGAGCAGCAGGACCTGTTTCCAGGTGCCTCTGCCAAGTCAGTGTTGAGTACCATCTTAGCACCAAGCCCCCGACAAGTAGTTTTCCTTGCCTACAATATGGGGAGAGAGCTGAGCCTCCTGCAGGCCCAGCATTGTGAAGAGCACCAGCCTGCTCGGCCGTGCTCGCTCGGGGAGTAGGCTATGCCCGTGTGTGGAGGAACAGCACGTGGCCAGGGGAGACAGGCAAGGAAGCCCTCGCTTGACACAGGAAGGTCTTGCGGGGCCCTCCCTAAGGCCCTCATGAATAGGAGCTCCTTTTGATACAGTGTTTTACTAATATACAAAATTTTTTAGGCTGGGCTTGAATTTGCAATCCTTCAGCCTCTGCTTCCCAGAGTGCTAGGATTACAGGCTTGAACTACCAAATCTAGGTCATTCTTGAATTTGTAATCCTACTGCGGCAGCTACCTGGAGCGCTGGGATTACAGGCCTAATCCACTGGGTCTGATTTGGCCTGGAATTTGTGTTCTTCCTGCCTTGCCTCTGGAGTGCTAGCAGAGTTTGTTCTGCTTGGGTTTTACAGCAGTCCCTTGCTATTTCATGGTTCGACTTTCACAGACTCACTTTTGCGGGTTTGCAAAAAAAAGTTTAAAAAAAAAATGTGTGTGTGTGTGTGTGTGTGTGTGTGTGTGTGTATACACATATATGTACATATTTTTCTATAATTTTATTGAGAAATAAGTAGCAATGAGACAGTTTCAAGTCCAATTGGTAGGACAGTTCCAATAATGAGCACATTGCACACTGCCTTCCTAGTGGTTATTTGCTGTATGAGATGCAGACGTGATATCCTATGTACAAACACTATCAGAACAAACCCCTCTATTCCTTGAATTAAGAGAATGTAGCTATATGTCTATCCTAACCATTTTGAATACACAGATACAAAATGGTCATTCATCTGTATCCCCTTTTTTGTTTAGTTCCATCATTTAAATATTGTAAGTGTGTGAACTCAGCAAAATATTCCAAAATAGTCCAGTGGTCCATAATAGTATTGGGTCTTCCATTTGAACTGGCAATGTCAGAAGTTGTTGACCTGAGTACTCTACAGCTCAACATAACAGCATGGCTTTATATCTTGTACTTTGTTTTTATACTTTCCTGCTGGATGGTTAAGATCAAGATAAAGCAGGACCTCTGCAACAAGCTTTTGGATCTGAGAAGGTCAGTGAAATCCCCTCAGGATTTATCCTGAGATCCTGTACCTCAGATTGCAGAACCTTTGTCAGTGTCAGCCATGTGGATGAGTCACGGCCATTGCTTGGCCAATGTGCTCTCTGTGAAAGCCTGAGAGAGTGTTTTCTCTCCATGTGACTCTCCTTAGGCCCACTCTACATCATCGATCACTTTCTTCTTTGGCCCCATAATCTCCTTGACCAGAAAATTCAGGACACAACTGAATAACATGATGAGTTCCATGACGTTACAGTACAAGTTCTCATATGTCCTGAGTCTTAATTGACCTTGGAAGGCTAGGGCCAAAATGCTGGCTTTCCTTGCAGCCCTCTTTTTTCTCTAATTTTTGGTCTGCGTACTTAGGTTATTAACCCTCCAGAAGAGAAGCTTATTGTTATTACCATGTAACCTAGGCTGTTGAGCTCACTATCTGTCTGAATATCAAACATCTTAGGCATAGCATGGAACAGGTATTTTTCATAAAGTATTGATATATTAAACTTTAAGTCCCTACAGAATATGACAAAAAAATTAAAATTATTTTTAAAAATAGGAATAAAGAATTATATATGTTGACACATAAGTCCAGAGATCTAACCATATACAACATTGTTGCAGGACAGTCCCACAACACTCCTTTTCCTGTCTCTTGCCTTCATTCACCACCCCTTCCGTTTTATTTTTTCCTTTTTTTTGTTTTTTGGTGGAACCAGGGCCCCTTCCGTTTTAAACAGTCATCTACCCGAGAGACAGCACGGCAGCAACTGGCATGTCATGACAAGCAGCCCGTATTCAGAAGGCCAGAAGGACAGGCACTCCAAGCATGAACCTACGATTACAAATTGCCATCTTCAGTGCAGTTGCTTAGTTCACAGGTATCAGGACATATAGTTAGTCAGGGTGAGAATCCTTCCAATTAACTGCTAGATCCAAAAAATCTTCTGAAGAGGCTCAGGATGATTGCCTTGCCCGTCTTGTACGTACAACTGTGTGGCTTGCCTCTGTCATGTTTTCTAGCTCTTCTCCTTGCTCTCTCTTCATTGTCTAGTCCCCAAGTTCTTCCTTTCCTTTTAATTGAATTATACCTTTCTATTTGTATTTCTTCTTTTGAGTTCTTACAGTAGGGAAACTGTACGATATTTACACATGTGTGTCTGGCTTATTTCATTTACGAGTATATCCTCAAGTGGCATCCATTTCAATATAAAGGCTTCAAGTTTATCATTCTTTATAGCTGAGTAATACTCCATTGTGTAAAAATACCACATCTTTCTCAACCATTCCTCAGGTGATGGATATCTTGGTTGTTTCCAAGATTTGGCTATCACAAATTTTGCTGCTATAAACATAGGCACACGTATCCCTATGATATGATGTTTTCAGATCCTCTGGGAAAATTCCCAGTAGAGGAATAGCTGGTTTAAAGGGGATTTCCAGTCCTAGTTTTCTATGGAGTCTCCACTGATTTCCATAACGGTTGCACCAGTCTACACTCCCACCAGCAGTGGAGAAGGCTTCATTCTTCCTCAGTCTCTCCAACATTTGTTGTTGGGTGATTTCTTTATGATAGCCATTCTTTCTGGGGTGAGATGATATCTCACTGTTGTTTTAATTTGCATTTCATGGATGGCTAGTGATATGGAGCATTTTTTCATAAATTTATTAACTTCTTTAATTTCATCCTCTGAGAAGTGTGTGTTCATCTCAGATGCCCATTTCTGGA